ATATGAAATGGAAAGGGAAAAGGAAAAGTTTTTTATTCTGGTGGATATTATATTCAGATTATATATACTGGTTACTTTCTTTGTGCTCCAAGAATTGTAATATTGGTCCAGTTAAAAAATATGTTCTGAAATAGGATTTTCTACAGAGTATGCAAGCTGTTTATATCAAGTACAATCGATGTTATTGGGGGAAAATGTTACAGCAATAGTAGATTTTGTAATGCAGCTGAGTATTTGGTGAGCTTTGTCAAATGAGTTACGAGCTTCTAAATTGAATCATTTATTTATTGGATCGAGCTTGAATTGTCAAAGCTCACTTGTGCTGAGGTTTTATCCAATCATGCTCTAGTAGCTTGCAAGTTGTTTCCTCTCATTAGCACAGCCTTACTTGAGCCTGTTAATCCTTATCTAAAGTATTAAGCAGAAAAGAGGGCAAGATGGCTGGGTAGTACCAACTTTGTGCATCGTGTATTATTTAAGTTGCAATGTCTTAACATAGTTTAGTAACACCAGGGCTTTCGTATAAGTCAATGTAATCCCAAATCCAATTAATCCTGTCTAACAGTTGAATGAACTTTTAGGTATTTGATCTTGTGCTCCAGAAGAGTAGCTTCTATAGGCTTACCTAATTTTGTCAAGTTCTGTTAAAGTGGTTACATCTTCATGCCTAGACCACTATGATCTTCTCAATGATATGCACTTATATCTTGTCGGATTCAGACTTTGTAATAATTTCTAAAAACTTACATGGAAAGTTGAAAACATTATAAATTGATGTGCTAGTAATTTGCAACTGTCTCTGTCACACAGAGAAGAAGTTCTTTGGAAGGTTGGATGGATAAGCTATTATTAAATATTGATGTGTCAAGGAGTGCACCTGTGGCAATATTTCTGGAGTTGGAAGCTGCTGCCAGGTCATGTAAGTATTTTCCTGATAAGCTTAATATCTTTGGTTGTTTTTGTCTTGTATTCTTTTATTAATCAGCTTTTCTGAAAGCTCGGGAGTTGGAATCACCTTAGCAATGTCTCCATCTGACAACAGTTTAAGTTGAATGAAGTGATTTGATTTATATTTTATTCAAATTATATCAGCATTCAATGATTCATCTGCTGATGGAGTCTCATCAGTCGCCGAGTATCAGCCAAATTCTAAGGTCTCCATGACTGGCAGTGTTTCATCAGTCGCATCAGACTACGGTGATAGCACTAGTTATAATAAATCGGACATTGAAACACCTGGGCATGGAGGTCATGCTGGGGTTAATGAGGAAAAGTCTGCATCAGATATTGATTTAACTGGTGGAGCAGAAACTGCTGGTGCTAGCGTCAAATATAACAGGGCTAATAGTGATAGGAAGGATAAATCTTATGAAGATACCTTTGGAAATGCATCTCGTGATGAGTATGGAAATGAGATTCTATCTGAAGGAGAGGACAAGGTGATGGGCCATTTGACCAGTTTTATGTCAACCGACAGTACTGGAAGTGATCTAACCTCTTTAAAAGCTAGTGACTGGGGAACATCAAGATTTCACGATGAAGGTGGACCCAACTCCCCTGTGGGAGCTGATGGTCCAATAGATGATGATCTACAATCTCCTAGCAATTTATTGGTGGCTCTTCCATCAGATCAACGCCATAAAATCAGTAGGGTTTTCGTTACCATGCAAAGACGGCTGGCTACTGCTAAAGCAGATATGGAGGACCTAGTTGCTAGGCTGAATCAAGAGCTTGCAGTGAGACAATACCTTACAACAAGGGTACCTTTCTGTATCCAGATTAATCTTGTTTATCCTGTCTGTATTTGTTTAAGTATGCTGCATACAGCACCAAAGGGTGGTTCTTGCTCTTGTTCTTGATACTTTTGATGGTGGTGGTAGTTGCCCCATCACATTGTAATATTGCCCTCCTAGATCTGTTTTTACTCTAGAATTTGCTGGTTTCCACATCCTACTCTTTGCCTTCCTTCTAGCTTTGGCCTGAGTGCTAAGTGCTTTATTGTAGATTTATTGATTGTCTTGTTGTTTGTATATGAGTAGTCCTAGCTTGAATTGGCAGGATAGTCGTTTTCGACATTGTTTCTACCTGATACGATGGAGCCACTATATTATGATGTTTGTTCTTCATAATAAAGTCTTGTTGTTTATTTATCTCATGTAACCAAGACGTTAGAAAAGTCTTATGTGATCTTGAAGCTTGTATGCTATTCAAATTCCCAGTTATCTGTAGAAGGCAAGGTTCTATCAATGCAGTTGAAGAATTATAAATCAATTTCTGGAAATTGTACCAAAATTGCACTCAATGTTAAAAGCACAAAATCATAGGGCTGCCAATGAAAACTCCCCTTTTTTAGTTTAATGACCTGTCCCATCCCATGAACCTTCCATGCATTATGCCAAGTACTGTTTTTAATCATTGGCATATGAAATTGTAACTTTATATGCTCTTCCCAGCTCACAGATTTGGAAGTGGATCTAGAAACTACTAAAGAGAGTACGAAAGACAATATTCAACAAGCCTTTTCAGCTGAAAAGGAGAAGTATACTCAAATGCAATGGGATATGGAGGAACTTCGGAAGAAATGTCTAGAAATGGAAATGAAATTGAAAGCTGAACAGGTTTTAAATTGTACACTTATTGTAAGCAATTCTTTATCCATCCTAGAATGGTTTATGGTTCTTCTAATGACATCATGATGTTATGTTTCAGGATGAAAAGATGTGTTTGGCCTCAGAAAATTCAGCTATTATCCAGGAGAATGAACTGCTGAAACAGAGATTAGACGTGGCTAGGGATCAACTTGAAAGCTCACAGAAACATCATGATGAGTCTGAAACAAAATCAAAAACAGATTTGAAAGTTCTTGTTAAAGAGGTTAAGTCCCTTCGAAGTTCACAATCAGATTTGAAGGAGGAGCTGAGCAACTTAACAAAAGAAAAGCTAGAATTGGAGGTAATTTTTCATTCCAAGCCTAGTATTCCTTTTATTTTAAATGATTGATTGATTGGTATTTAGATGATTGCTCCAAGTTGGTTCCATTTCTATGAATCATATCTCCATTAATCATGTATTCTTCATTTGGGCATTCCGCTATCATCTATTTGAATTGTTTAATTATGCTTTCATGCCAAACTTATTAACTTCTCTTATTTCATCTATTTTCTTTTCTAGATGGGTTAAAAGACATTAATAAGTGAAATTCAACCATGGACTCTTAGTTCTCCATCAGGATCTTTTCAACTAAAATGTGCTAACCAGTCGTGCAAACTATTTCTTTTCTGATAGACTTTTATGTACTACGTGTTAATTTTTTGGTGTGCTCAGTGTTCTAACTTATTCTAGTATTATCTGATATCAGAGAGATCTCCAAAACGAGAAGCAAAAAAGTGTATATGCTAGTTCTGTTAATGAGAAGTTGCTGCATGAATGTTCAATTCTCCAAAAACGGCTTGAAGAATCCAGTGTAAACTTCCTGGTTGAAGAGGAAGACAAATTAGTTCTGGATACTTCACCATCAGATGCTATCGATCTTCTTACCACGTCTGATAATCGAATTGGTCTTCTTCTGGCTGAGGTACAATGCCTTTTCATGTTTACTTCATTTTCCGTGTTATCTTAATTAAGGTGATCGTTAACACCACCTTCCCTAGGGAACCATTGCTAATCTGCAAAAAATCATAAGCATGCATGGATTTGTTTAGCTTAGAGCAGTAGGATAAATTGTTGCTTTAATCGCTATTGGAAGAACCTATGGTGGTTGTGATATAATTTAAAGTCCCAAAATGCGTGTGCTGAGTTTTTTCCAAGTGATGATTATAATTTATTAGTGGATTGGAAGCCCCAGCACTTCAGAACAGATGAAAATTTATATATATACCCGGGTGCAAGATGCACCAAGGTTTTTTTTTTTTTTTTTTTTTTTTTTTTTTTTTTTTTTTGCTAATTTGATGATTCAAACCATCCTTTAATATAATCATCAAATTAAGCAAAAGATACCTTGGGTGCACCATGCTCCGTAAACCCGGGTGTATGTAACAACTTAACTAGTAAAATGAAAAGACCCTGTTCGCAAAAACAATCAAATTTTTCAGAAGTGGAATTTATTTCATGATAGTATAAACTAATGCAGTACGTGCTACTCCATATTTTGTATGGTTGTATATCCTCGTGTTATGTGCCAGTGAGCTAATATCTGGATTCTCTACTGTAAATCTGTAACCCTATACTTTTCCCTTTGCCTTCTATTGTCTCTACCTTCTAAGCCTTGTGCTATTGTATTTAGTGCCTTCATCTCAACATGAATCATAATTGTGACAGGCACAGCTGCTTGCACAAGATGTTGAATATTCAGCCGACAGATCAAATAGTACAACAGTAGATGAGCTACGAAAAATGGTTACAGAGCTCTTCGTTGATAATGCTACAAGAAGGAAACAAATAAATTCTCTAATCCACTGTGCTCTTAAGACACTTGACTTGTCAGATGAAGGTAAAGAGGTGCCCTCAAAACAAACGGTCTTGGGAAAGTTCTTGTGAAAGTTAGACAAGACAATTATTGTACAGATAAATTACATGTAAGACTTTATTAACTGAATGATCTTATGTTAGGAATAAAAGATTGAGCTTGTGCCCTTGATATAAAGATTGAGCTTTTCTTCGGTAAACTGGCTCAATTTTCATTCTCTTATATTATAATATTTTTGAGAGGATATCTGATGCTCATTTCATCTTCAATGGCCACACTTTCCAGTGAACTTCATAGATTTTTTTTTTTTCTTTGAAAGAAGTGGACTTCATAGATTGTCTAGTCATTAAACAAATAAAATCCGACTAATATGGGCGGTATGGTTAGTGTCTATTCACTTGTTTTGGAGCACCTTTGTGTTGGAAATCTACTTCTTCACAAATTTCGCAACAATCTTTCATACTCGATACTCATTACAAAATGACTTTTCAGAGGCATATAAGAATGAATTCAAGCTGAATGTAATACGTAAATATTCAAACAAAAGAACCTGTTCCTCTACTGTCCTTGAATAAAAAACACAGTATCACCTTTGAGGCTTTGACAGTTGAAATGACAAACTGATTTAAATGTGAGCGGAGATTACCATTCAAATTCATAAAGTGGGTATAAGCCTGGAGAAATTACAGAGATATGAACTACTAAGAATTTTAAAGTATGTAACAGCTTGACTTAGCTAAAATAACTGAGTTCACAGTAAAAATAAAAATTTAAAAAGAAACCTATCACTGTACTTTTTCGAGATCAAACAGCAGGCATCTTCAATCTGAGTCTCAAATTCTGCCACGAGATTCAATTGCAATTCTGGCAAGAGATGGCTGGAAAGGCGTGCTGAACTTTAGTAGGCTGGGAGGCCATATAGCAAAACATTTCATGCCAGCAGAAACTAATTTAGAGTTAACAGCAATTTTTACTTATCTCCTCCCCCGCCAAACATACTCATCATGTCTTTAGCAGAACCCATATTACCCATTTGTTTCATCAAGGTCTGCAAACCACCCATACCCCCTATCTGCTTCAACATCTGTGGAGGAAGAACCTTGCTCATATGTTGTGCGTTCATGTTACGTGACAAGGCACTCATTTCTCCCTTCTTTGGAATCTTAAGTCCCTTCATCTTGCTCCAGATCTTTGCAAGGCGTTTGTACTCCTCCAACATATCCATAACTTCTCTAACATGGCGGCCAGCTCCACGAGCAATCCGCATTATTCGCGAGTCAGTCATAAGTTTTGGGTTTGAACTATCCAACTCTGCAGCAATATGGTCAAATCAAAACAAAATCAATGTTTAAGGACTACCCAGAGAAAAAAGTGACATATTACAATGATATATCAACTACTTTCATATTATTATGACATATTTTTTAAAAAATCCCAGATTCAGAAACAAATTAATAGCTTTAAATTTGGTTCTACTGAGGGAGAATATAGCAGACGCAGCCAATACATGAAATTAATGATAATGATAAAACAATGCTCCCCCCCCCCCCCCCCCAAAAAAAAAAAAAAAAACAAAAAAAAAGGGGAAAAAAAATGACACCACCAGAATTCATCCTCCCCATAATTATATTAGGCACAGTAAAACAACATAATGACTATAAGTGTAGATAGAATATACACTACTCTACTATAATTATATTAGGCACACTAAAACAGCATAATGACTAAGTGTACATAGAATATACACCACTCTACAATAGAGGATTTTTAATCATCAATAACTTTCACATTGTTTAACCAGGGATGTTCTTGAAACCTGTGCTGCTGTGCAACATGATTGAATGGCATACATTCCTCCTGTTAATATAGACTTACCAACATAGCCTAGTTTTTACTTAATATTTTGAATATAGCAGCTGAAAATCAATACTCACAATAATAAATGTTAATGCACCAATTAAGGATGCATACTTCAAAATCCACCAATACGCCTTATTCTCAAAGGGTTTTTTCAGAACTTGTTTACAATGATTTGGTACTGCTGCACAGTGGCACACAACCATAGCGAGCATAAGGTTCAGTAAAATAGATGTCTCTGTTTTTCAATCATGATGTTATTAAAGAAATGCTCCAATCATATCAGTTAAGATATGTTATTGCCCTTTTATGGCTCTTGTTGCAACAAAACAAAAAAAAAAAAAAAAAAAAAAAAAAAAGGTCTTGCTAATTTAAGCCAAAAAGTAAATACTTTAATGCATTGTCACTTGTTCTCCCAAACAGAATACATTCAAGGAATCAAAACTTACCATCATCTGTCATTGAATCCATCATGGTCATATAACGCTTGATCTTTGCCTGGCTCTCCTTTTCTTGACCTTGGGGCATCAACTCAGCACTGAATCCAGGAAGCATTGAGAAAACCTAGGGTGAAAATAGTATTAGTAACACAAACGTTCCCTGGCAAATAAAAAGCAATGAGAGAACCCTGAATTTCAGAGTAACCATCTTCCCTGGCAAGAATTAACTAAACAGCACCTGTCCTGGTGGACAATTGAATAATTGATCATGAGTAGAGGGAACGAAAGAAAGAGGAAGTTAAGCCAGATACATGGCATTGATAGGAGTCTAATATGCTGTTGCTTTTAAGAGTAGAAAGCCCGAATAGCTAGGTATCTGGCATGCCACAGCGGACCAGAACATTGCAGAACTTGAATATGTAGCAACTAAATTGCAAAAGGCAAGAAGTCAGAGAATATGGGATGTTTAGACAATACCAAGACATGTCATATGAGGTAAAAAGTGTGTGAGATAAAGGATTACAGGAAAGAAAACGATTGTATTGATTAAGAGAAAGCGGCAAATAACTTAAGGTACTCGTAAAGTCGTAAATTGCCAAAATTTATCAACATTTTCAAATTACAGAGGCAATGAAGCAAAACCTGGAGTTTCTGATGAAAGTGACGCAGCTATAGCATACCTGACTAATAGGTCCCATCTTCATGATATTCTGGAACTGCTCGTACATGATTCTGAGGGTGAAATTCCCCTCAGATAGCTTCTGCAAAAGTTCAGGCTGCTGATCCATGGGAACCACTTCATGAATCTTATCCATGAACCCTGACCAATCACCCATACCTAAAGGAAGAAACAGTACAACCATTCAGAATATCAGAGATGTACAGCCCATCAGGCAGAATAATGAAAAAAACAGAGTGCCAAATACGAGAACAGGTATATACCCAAAAGTCGGCTAACAAATGGCTTGACATCAAATACCTCGAACTCATCCATGTGCTCTCCAGTTCCAATAAATATCACAGGGCTCTTGGTTGCAGCCACACTGCACAGTATTTTTACAAAGCACTTGGGAGTTACACATAAGAACTTAAAAAAAGAAAGGAAGTCTAAAGCACTTTGAGAAACACTAGTTTTAAACAAAGAAATTATTTACAGTGCATAGATATATTACGAAAAGTTATTCATAAAATAGTTTTAAAGCCCACACTTCTTAGATCCATTATCATTCTTTTCCCTCTGTCAATGGTAGTGAGCAAGTCTTTCATAGAAGACAAAACTTTCATCGCAGACCAATTCTTTTATCTCCCCCAACAATTTAATTAAGCCACTGGTATATATAAGCTTCTCTTGATTATCAATCTTCCTATAAAATTTAAATCTTTGCTATTAGACTTAATTGTGTGTGAGCGAGCGTGCATGCATGTGTATTGAGAAGGGGGAGGATAGTTACTAGGAAAAATAATTAATCAATTTGTAAGGACCATAGTACTTACGCACTAAGAGCACCACCTCCCTTTGCATGACCATCCATTTTAGTAATAATCACGGCACCAACAGCAACACTTTGCTTGAAAGCTTGAGCTTGATCAAATGCAGCTTGACCAATACTACTATCCATAACAAATATGACAAGATCTGGTTTCTGCAAGGAAAGAAATTGAAAGGCTCATTAACTGCATGTCCTCTACTCAAAGAAGAATAGATAGAAAGTTGTTAACACAACAGAAGAAGATATAGTGTTAAATATAATACTGTTGCTTCAGCAACTTGACGCATTTCTTCAAAAAGAGAAGCCTCTTGTTTGTGGCGTCCACTGGTATCAACAATAATGAGATCACAGGATTCCTTTTTAAATCTTTCTACACCTTCAACAGCAATCTTCACTGGATCTGACTCCATGTAACTGTTTAAATAGTAGGCAATTATAAATATAAATATAATCAATAGTCGTCTACACAGATAGATCTAAGTATCTAACTATCAACTCAAGAAATATACAGAATACAATCGCTTCTTCTCCAGAAATAAATCTCCATTTCAACCAGCTTGCTGTCATAATAGCCAGTCCAAGGTATCTAAAAAGCTGCTCTATTCAGTGACTATGCCACAAGTACACTTCAGAATCATCTAAATAGGGGTATTTAAAATACTCCAAATGCATTTCAAAACAAATTACAATTAAATTCTAAAACTAAAGTACACGGAGAACTTCATAGTCAAGAGGTAGAGTACCTTCCATAGAAGGGAATCTTAGCTTTGGTAGCATTTTGCTTCAACTGATCAAAAGCACCAGCTCTAAAAGTATCAGCACAAACCAGAGCTGGTTTCCAACCCTTTTTTTGATGATAATATGCATATTTTGTACAGGTGGTTGTCTTTCCCGATCCTGAATATTAGAGCATGCAGCAATATTATACATGAAAAGCAGGGACGACTTTGTGTAAAAACATCATTTTAGAAAGAAGAGTAAAAAATAGTACTCCAACAACGAAGTGTAGAGCACATTACACCTCAACATTCAACTTACCTTGTAGACCAACAAACATGATGACACTAGGTTTTCCTTTCTTCGGAGCATAAGCTGGCTTCCCAGGATCCAAAATTTTGCAGAGCTCATTAAAAACAGCCTAAATTGCAGATTATCTGATTAGCAAAACACCAAATAATTTCACTTTACAACAAGATAAAAGTACAAAAGAACACCTGCAAAACATTGCGTTGTCTAAGCAAGCTGACAGGTCACACTATTTCTAAGGTCGTAGCATATTAACCTCATAACATTACAAATTCCTTTAGCTCATCATTCATTTTTTTTTTTAACAATTCACCTCATATACAACCATGCATATTGTGCCGAAACAACTAGTCCAATACAATCTCCAACCCTCTAGTTTTCTATCATTTCAAAGTGTAACCCCATCTAAGCATCATTCGATATCATCTATCACTACTAAAGCTAACCTTCAAATCAATTCACATTGCTTCACGAATTGCGAATAGGCAAGAAACCTACTCCGTAATTTGCAACTCACTTGAATTATTTCATCTCTCACTCCAATGACTTCAACCCTCTATCTCTCACCAGTTTCAAAGCATTTCCCTATCTTAAAATATTTTGCTCCTACCTCTCTAGTTACCGAAAACCTCTAAATCCACATACATAGATGTGAATTCGCAACTCGGCGAGTAACTATATCAAGTTCAATCATGTCAATACAACTTCATTTTCTATCTAATACCAAATTATCAACATTAAAGATCAAACAATCTGCCAAATTACAACAATTTCTTATTCAAAATTACAACAACCAATACCACAAATTCCAGAAGCCAGTTTCCAAAAAAAAAAAAAAACCTAATTCAATTCATGCAAACCTAGTAAAATCCGAACAATTCTAATTCACACTAGTATCTCAAACTCAGTAAAAGTCCTCAAAAATAGCAATTATACAATCAAAATCGAAAATTTGTAAACACGATGAAAAAATACCTGTTGAATAATTTTACGCTTGTTATGACCAGCAGCAAGATCATCAAGATTAACAATCTTCTTAATATTAGTGGTCATATCTCTAACAAGCTTGAATTGAACATCGGATTGCAAAAGAGCACGAGTTATTTCATTGAGACATTCATTCAGAACTTTCTCGTCGATGATTGTCGCATTGCTCATCTGCTGGAGAGCACGGGATATGGTCCCCCCTAATTGTGCTAACACCATGTTTGCAGAATTTGATTAGAAACCCTAGAAATTGAAATTGAAATTGGGCGTGATTGAACCGAACTAAAGAACCCTAGAAATCGTGAAGTTTGATGGAAGATGATTGTGTGAATTTGCGAGGGGAGTGTCCGTAGAATTGAAGAGAGAGAAAAGGGAAATGGGATTATAATTTATAATTATAGGAATTGGGTTTTATGAGGAAAAAAAATAAAAATACAAGTTTATCATCTTGGTAAATGCCGTATGGAGTAGTAGAAAAAATATCTACGGTGAAGTTAGTGTTTCATCACAAAGACACGAATAGTACAAAATTTTAACCATTTATCTTTTAGTTTGCCATTCGATAAGACATTTTTTCCTATTGAGTAAGAAAAGCTAGGTTAGCCCCTTTGATTGAGGAGACATAAAGCATTCTTTTAGATGATAATGGAGAAGAAAGGCGCAAAATTATCAAAGAACTAAAGTAAAGTTTCATGGTGGTATCCTTCTTTGCCATGTAGTATGTCGTCATATTCGTAACCCTACAACAATGGTGAACGGTGTGAGAAATCAAGAGTGTTCAAAGCTAATTCCGTGTCACAAATGATGTTGTTGATCTCCGATGAGATTTGATACGTCCTCATAATGACATTTATGACTACAAGATTATCGTCTTCTATAATCAGATTACGAATGCCAAGAAGTTAGCTCCTTTTAAACCTTCTCTTAGGTTCATTGCTTACGCTTCGAGAATTGAAGTGTTCGGATGGAGAGCCTTTGCCCCTGCAAGAATAAGGTTCTCATTATGATCTCTAATTACAAAACCAAAAGGAGCTACTTTCGTTTATTCTTGAACCTTCAAAGTTTAACTTGTGAAAATTTCTTAGAGGGGGGACCAAGCTATTTGAGTTGTATTTTGACAACTAAAATTTGCTCCAGACTTTGAAGATCTTGATCTATAAGGGATTATGGGTTGTTTTCATCGCTTATTTTAATATTTTGACCGTTGAACCATTCATTTGATAAAACATCTATGCTTGCTTGCACCCATTTGCAAGAGGAAATAAATATATGGAGTAATTTTTTTTAATAACCCAAGTAAAGAGATTCATACATGGTAATGTTATACTTATCGACTTCTCGTTGTGTCTTAATCAACCTATTTAATTTGATATCCAATTATTTCAGAAATAATCAGATGTGATATATTACAACAAAGTTTGGTCAAATCTAAAAATATCAAACACAACCAAGCATTGATAAAGTTGATCAACATCAACACTTTATCCATCCATACCTTGTATGATACTTGTGCATGATTCATATCATTATTATACTTGTGATTATATTATGTACTCCCTCTTTATAATCCATGAAATTTTTTTGTGAAAAAAAAAAGGTCAAAATAAATGTGAAGAACCTAAAGGATTAGATGGAGTGATATATTGATTAAATGGATTAGTCACAATGTTTATTAGTTCTTAATATAGTTAGTGCAAAATTGTCTAATCGACACCTTTTTCTGGTTGGAATTCCTTAAACAATTTGCAGACCTACAACCATTTTAGATTCAATCTTGTAGCCTTGTAGGTACTTTTAGACTATGTGCATTTAACGTGATTTTATTTAATTTGATTTTTTTCTAATACGGTCTAATTTTAGATTTAACCAAATTTTAACCTAATATGAACACTAATTTGTAAGATAAAAATTATCAATGAGATGTCATTAGTTTGGTATTTATATGTACTCTCCAAATATGATATTTTCATAAATTTTGCAACTACGAAAATAAATATATTCAACGATAATTAAACGGAAATAACAAAACATGATCTAGTTTGATTTGATTATTTCTTAGTAAAATTGATATCAACATAAATAAGTTGAACCGGATATAGCCCTAATGGCCTGCTCCTGGGTGTGTGTATGTATTTTTAACTTGTGGACTGCCATGTTTTGTTGATCATCGTACTTGAATTATACAATTGATCGACGCTCTTGGTAAACTCTTCAATGAGTTCAAGACCGTCATTTCATCTGGAATTGAAGAAACCTGGTTTCGAAATATGACCAATTTCTCCAATGCTACTGCTTTCCTAAGGAGAAAAGGGACCATTCCTACTCCCCGTTCGTTTCTATAGTATTTCTTTATCACTATTCTTTTGAGATGATACCTGCAACTTAAAGGAATTTCATGATCTTTACTAACAAATTCTTGTTCCAACTCCTGTGCTTCCCCGTTAAACGGACATAATCTGGCACAATAACCATCAACGAGTTCCTGCAAAGTAAACAACAGTCTGTAAGTAATCGATTCAATGTACATCAGTACATATGTAAAATGACACTAAATCCAGACACTAACCTCTGCAAAAACAAGTGTTTCTAAGACAGGCGAACAGTTAAGAAGGGGGAACAAGCCAAACAACGGTGTACTCGAGTAGTAACTATTTACCGCACCGCCCACGGCGCCCAGCTCTAGATGTTTAAGATTTGAAAACAAGGGTAAATGGTCATTTAAGACCTTTTCATCAACACATTTGAGCACCTACAACCACAGGTTAAAGTAAAGAAATCCAAAGTAGTTTATAAAGTAAAGAAAACATGAATTTCTTTTACTACAGAAGGATGAAAATAGAGATGATTCAGCTTAAAACAAAATCAAAGATTTACACATACCAGTGTCAAACAGCCTAGCAATGATAGATGTTGAACATAGGACAAGGGTCTTAAGAGGTTAAATAACATTTGATCAACATTTTCAGCATTTAGTCCATATATTTCATCAAATTGTAAGAATTCTTTAAATTCCAAAACTGCTTTAGCAAGACACTTCATTATTGTGATATTGTAACAATTTGGTAGAATAATATCATAATATTCCAAGTACTCTAAATTGGGAGTACTGATAAGCACACAAGCACTGTTATCGCCTATATCAAAAGGACAATTAGGCAACAAACAGAGTCTTCGAAGGGAACTTGATGTGATAGCGAAAATTTTGGCAACGTTCATAGAGGGTTTGAATGTAAGGTCTTCAAGTACAGGGCAACTTGAAACTAGCCTCGTCAGAAAGCCATCATCAGATATGACAGACGCAGACAAGAGGAGAGATTTCAAGTTTGGAAGACGATAAGTTGGCATGGTAAAAACATGATCAAGGCCGATATTGACCTCAAGCTTCAACACCTCCAATGTTTCACATGTGAAAATAGCTGGAGGCAACTGAGAATCACCAGGTTCGCTCACCAGAATACTAAGGTCAAGCTCCCTAAGGCCACAAAGGGTCAATGGATAAGAGATCCACGCATAAAGTCGCGGGGGTTTCAAGTCAGGGAGACAACTTGGCTGACACCCAATAAAAGTGTAACCATCAAAGTACACCGCATTAAAGTCCTCCCTGCTAACTTTAAGCCTAAACTTGGTAAGATACCGCGATTTGTGTACTTGGAGTACAGTATCAACAAAGCTCACGAAAGTAGGATAACGTTCAGTTGCATAGGGATGTTTCAAACAAAAAGATACAGGTGAAACATCAAAGTCAAGGCTCGTAATTAAAGGGAAAACACGCCTAAATCTCCTAGACAAGGCGGAAATAGCAGCAGCATCCTTGGTAGGAAGCAGAGATATGATCTGAATTAACAGTTCATCAGGCAAATTGGTGAGCCTATCAACCAATATTTCATTAACGTTGTGATTTTGCACATCCCTTGCAGTAGTACAAGTTGCAGTACATTGTTTAAAGCTACAATCCATTCGCCTATTTCAACTCTCGAAGAGAAGTGATTCTTGCTCTGAATAAAATAAATAAATAATTAGAAGACACTGTTGAATATCCGTCTATGCAAGTTCTTCCTAAACATTATCAAAAAGTCGAACTTTTAGAGATGGAAGGAATATAAAAATAAATTGTCTCTTAGTTTTATTTTAACACACAAATGACGATTATATTACTTGATTACCAAACCACCAAATACAAAATCACACTACCTACGTTAATTGCAACAAAATGGTATTATTTGTAAGACATAAAAAATTCCGTAATTAAAATTGATAGAACACATACATAGTCACATAGACGAACTACTACTATGTCTAATAATAAAATTAACTCTAACTAATAATAAAGTGCATAAAATTTCACACAATATCAAGCTTAAGCAATATTATTACATTTTCCCGAATTTCTTGTCAAAAGGGCTTTTTTTTTTTTTTTTTTGTGCAAGCAAAAGGGCAAATTTTAATTCAACGAATATCAATCAACCAAAATATAGACAACTAGAGGATTATAATATTGGATATTACAAGAAGGGTAAAGGAATTAGAGAATTTTCTAAAACTCGTCACTCAAATTTCAATCACCAACCTTAAATTTGGGAGAAAAATTCAAAAAGAATAAGTCGAAAGAGTGGAGAGAGAATTACCGTGGTTGCAGAGGGTTCTCGTAGAAAATCCAGAGGGTTACTTCTATAATTTGCTTTGCCTATATTCGGAGTGGGAACTAGAGTCTAGAGGTGTCAAAACTCCAAAACACACCTGATCCGATCCGATCCGACCCTAAAAATATCCAATTTAGTTTTGGACTCACGTGGACGTAACAACTTTAAAAAGTAACCTGACTCGATCCGATCTTATCAGACCCGATTCGATCATGCGAATTAATACCTCTAGTGGGAACGTGAATTTTAGAGGTGATTATTAACTTATTAAGTGGGCTTGGGTGAGTTATTGTTGGGATAATTTTTGTCTAGTGGCCCTAATATTAAAACACAAATTCTTATATTTGGTTATATGAGATTACTTTGTTAGTCTTACAAGGATTACTTCGTCATTATTTGTAGAATTGCAGGGGTTGCTCAGTCATATTACAGGAGTTACTTTGTTTTTTTTACAAATGGTCACATGGTGAGGCCAACCATATATAAGACAAATTGATGAATTTTGGTGTGAGAGGGTTAATGGCCTATGTTTTGGTAATTAAGACTTAGGTCAGAATCCGACTATTGACCTTAAATTTTCGAGACCCAAAAATACTCCAGATATCCTTGCAACAGGTGACTTCAAAACCGTGTGTTTTTCTTTATTCAATTTAACACAATTGGTGAAGCTTATCAAACCATACCCAAATCTAATGGCAACTAACTTGTGCACTTTGGCACCAACTCTTTGTTTCTCTCTCCCAACTTCCATCTACACCAAAACTTCACCTTTAACAATCACAGTCACAAAAACAACCATAAAAAACTACCAATATCAAATTCGACCTCCATTAATTCCTTCTGTTCGAGCTTCTTCAGGCCCCAATTCTTCTGAACCAACTTCACCTTCAAACTCAGTTACTCCTAATCTTCAGGTTAATACTCTATTTTTTTTCTCTTAATTTTGTTCATATTTTTTTCCCAAAATTCGGCCATTGTTAATCAAAATTAGGTACTATATGAATGGTGAGTGTATTTAATCTTGATTTTGTTGTCGTATCTACCAACCATTTTAAGCAGATGAAGATAATTTTTCAATTTTTTTGCTGGGATTTTTAAGAACCCATCTTAATTTTTTTTTATAGGCATATGAAAAAAAAAAAGGCACAAGTATGAATTATTGGATTCTTGCCTATGAGTTTGAACCTGGGTTTTAAAGTTACTTGCATGCTCACCTTTCATTTCTACATGAAAGTGTCTATTAAGATAACGGTCATGTGTTTTTAGTGTTTAGAGAGCCATAAAGGGGGCAGGGGTGAGAATCGATCCCAGGATTTCCTGGTATTGGGAAGGAAGCTCTCACCATAAATGTAAAATTGATATTCTTCCTCCGTTTTACTTAAATTGCAACACTTGATATGACACTACACATCTAAATATAATGTTCAATTTTAGTGAAACGAAGTATTGATTTTCTAGTGACATTCAAGGTATAACATTATACACTCCAACTTCAATACCCTAAAGGAATTTAGAAGCCACTCACAAACTTTGTGAATTAATTGTTCAAACAACTCTAGCAATGCCACCAATCTAAATAACCCTGCAGTAGACAAATAGTAGGATTTTCTTGCTTCTTAACATGATTACATGATGCATTTGCCATTAACAATGCAGGACGACGTTACATACTTGTTGAAGTTAGCTGCTGGTTCTATTTTCGGTGCAGCATTGATCAAATACGGCAGTGCTATTATCCCGGACATCACCAAACCCAACATAACACTGGCTTTGCTGATGATTTCTTCTCCTGTAGTCATATCTATTCTGCTTTTATCTAACAGTAGTCGTAAAGAATGACCCCTAATGTGATAGCAGGATATCGACACTATTGAATATCATGGTTATATGTTGAAGCAATGCAGACATTGGAGCCAAGAGGCAAACAAAGATTCAATTTTATATTATTATGAAGTTACAGCAAAATTATGTAAATCAATTGGCGTTTATAACAAACAACGATTTGAATGCAAAGTTTTGTAAACAATGTCTTTCAAATAACATCTTTTGTGTACGAATTTTTTTTATAAGCAATGACGAATTGACGATTGAACCGATATTATTTATTGATACCAGATTGAATGAATTTCACAAGAGGGCAGTAAAAACTTTAAGAATCGAGAACAGTCATTTTTTTCAAAAATTACAAAAGGTAGTTTAGTTGAAAGATATTATTAATAATTGATTCAAGAAAAATTATTAGTCTCTGCAGGTAAAACAATTGTTTGCATTCCTTTAACAAGAAAGGAGCGCGCTCAAACACCAAGTGGTTAATACTCTTCAATTTACCAATCATTGTAATTCCCTGAATCATGTCATCTGTTCAAAAAAGGGTCTATATATTACTCTACATTTGCGCATTGCATTACAATAGGTAGAAAAAAGGCACCATCAGCTTGAGCCATTTACAAACTGCGCAAAAGAATCAAAAAATTGTCCTAACTGCAGCCAATCTATCTGGTCAAGCAACCGATTCTGTTTACTCTCACTTGCTTCCTTCAAGGCATTTTTAAATGCATGCTCACAATAGAAGACATCAATATCACAAGCTGAGATCACAACTACAAATTATCCCTCAGCCATTTTAGAGCACCGTTTGCCACCGATCTGCCACAACCATTTATTTAGTTAGATGTGTAAATGATGCATAAACAGCATATGTAACCTCAAAAGACAATTAGGAATAGCTGATTGGTTACATACAATATATGATTCTATCAGAACAAAGTAGTATCCCAACTTATTGTATATTATGAGCATTTTTTTAGAAAAGTTGTGAGGAGAACATATTAAGCAGGAGTGTTTATGAAAAAAAGTCCTACATACTTGTATTAAATTACATAAACCTTAAAATTCGAGCAGCACTGTAAACCTGTAAGGATTTTTTTTATTTTTTTTTTTTTGGAAACCAGCCTGTAAGGATTTAGCGACGAGGAATGGAGAAAGCAAGAAAAGGCAAGATGCAGGAGGAAAATAACATAGAGGCATTACACTGTGGTTAGATTGGGAATTCGAAGGAAGGGAAACAGGGGATCCATTATCATCTGGATATGATCCAAACTAAAGTGACCTAGTAAATGAGAAGAAGATTCAATTCCCTTCCCCTTTTTAATAAACCAACTCCTTCCAATATTGGAAAGATTTGAAATAAAAGATGCAAGCTCACTTTCCTCCCCTTCCTTACTCCCGCATTTTCCCTTTCCTTCCCCTATATAAAATCTATCCAAACACTCTTAGTGAAAAAATTGAAGGTTGAGAATTGGTGAAAATGTAAGGAAGAATAAACCATGTTTATTCAATTATAATTTGCTCGAGCATATGTAATAATTTTAGCTGGTCTTGCGTGAGATGCACACTCCACCCTGAATTATAATACAACAATTCATCCCCTAATGAATAAAAAGACACCCTAACATTATATAAAATGTTTTATGACACAAATCACCACTAGTAGACTAATAATGTCGTACAAAGAGGTGGCAAACACGTTTGGATTGAAATTTACTCAGGTCCCTTTAGCGTGGATCATATCCAGATGATAGGTCATTCATGTCGGGTATCTAGTCAAAACGGGTCTATTATAAATTTAACCTAATTCAGATTATTTTCAGAGGGAGTCCATTCCATTTCAAGTAAAAGTTAGGTCTTCCAGTTTCGGGTACTATTCAGCCATTCAGGTATTACCCGGAAAGTAGGAACAGGTTGCTTTTCCACCAATATGTTGAGAATTAGACAGTTACCATTTACATTCTTGTGTAATTGTTTAAACCCATTTATCCTAGTTCAACTAGAATACATTCCAGATAGCAATTAAATATCTTCTAAAGAGAGGTACAACATATCAGTCTTCTTACAACAACAATATCCAAAAATGTGAATAGTAGCTCTTCCTCTATATTGCAAAATCCAATCCATTTACAAGAAAAAACCTTTTTTTCCATCTTTCATCAGTAATAAAGGAAACAGAAATTACCTATGAAGTGCAGCTAAATATGCAAAATGGCATTATTTAAGTGAAATCGACAGAAATACATGTAAATTATGAATCTTACCAATATTTGACACAAACCCACACGACAAACATCTCAATGAAAAGAAATTGAAAGCTCACTGAGAAAAGATGAAGTTTGAAGGCAGAAGTTAATTTACCCAGCAAAATCTTTTATTTTCTTCCACGGGTCATTCTGATCTCCTGATTCCTTGCTTTCCTCAGCATCAGTACTTGCCTGAGTCTCCGTCACTTCAACTTAACAGAAGGAGCACATAATTATTTTCTCATGATAGAAAAAATGGGAAGCAAATGTAGCCTTTTTCTATTAAATATGCAAAGTAATTATCACTTCTATGTGAAAAACCAAGATACGAGTATATCATTCTCAGTAGAGTTGAGTGAGTATCTAATGTTCGAAACTTTAGCTTCAAATAACAGTGTGATAAACAAATGAATCATTAACCTGTTTTCTACTACAACTTTGTCATGAAGCAGTGAGTCAGTCAATTGCCTTTCAAATCAAGGGTCTAACAAAGATCTTTTTTTATGATGAAAGGGTAAAGGCCATCTCAGCCGTGGCAGAGACTTGACATCTGCATCTCTTTTATAGGAGTAAAATCACTCACCGGCTTGTCGAGGCTGAGGACGAGGACGTGTACGGTTACTTTTCGTAGTACTAAGGACAGCAAGTTCTTCAAGTAATTCACGTTCTCGAACACTGAAAAAATGTAACATATATATAAGGGCCCTTTCGACTTCAAAGACAGATTTTAAATACATTTGGATCACATGACCAAGTACTCAAAGAGATAAAGGATTCAAACAATAGCGAGTGATATATCCAAAATCAGAAACAATTAAAATACTCTGCAACTAGGCCAACACAAGCTAAAAAACACAAAATGTTTCGTATAAAACATGAAGCCATATCAAAGAATAAAGAAAACAATATTCAATGATATTTTTCCTCTTTCAAGAGAAAATAATTGCTTTCGGTTTCCTTTTTATTTAATCAGCTAAAGTTCCATATAATTCACAATTTCACATAACATGCCAAATACCAAAACACGAAATTCCAACGACTGAATTAGAAATATTGCTGCTAGAAAGAGAACCAGGAATCTTTCTCAAAAGTGAAAGTATCATTGATACCTTGCTTGATAGAAATCATAGTTTGAGCTAAATTAAATACCCAAAACCATAGCTAACAAAGTGTAATTTGCAGCACCATGTATCACCATGCTAAAACATTCAACATCAACCAGATATTAAATAAAAAAAGTGAAGTATCAAGTATGAGTATGACAATCACAAACTTCAATTTGCAACGTAAACTGATGCAGGAAGTTCTCAAGGAAAGGAAATCTTATAAAAGGTAAGTACCTTCTGACCTCCGTCAAAAAAAAAAAAAAAAAAAAAAAAAAAAAATCTTTAACATACAAGATAATTAAAATGTGAAACAAACAACGCAAAATTTGCTCACCTGATGCGCTTTGGTATAGTAATTTTTACAGTAAACAAGTGATCGCCGCGTATGGAGGGTTTGTTGAGTTTCGGTACACCCTTCTTTGCAAGAACAAGGATGTCTCCTGGTTGAGCACCTGGTGGAACCTCCAAATCAATGGTCCCTTCAACAGTCTTAACCTGCAAAAGAAAAGGCAAATCACTATAAATGTAAATTTTCAATGAATGAGAACTGAAAAATGTTAATACCTCCATTACAGATCAATTAATGCAGGAAAGCCATACGTCTTATATCTAAGAGACTGGATTCCTATTATTCTAATACATCAAATAATAAAGAAAACTGCTCAGAACGAATACATCATCTGCCAACCTCACCCGGCAGTTCAACCCCATAAGTATATGCATGAATCGTAACATTTCAGATAGAAATAATTCACTAAAATTTAGACACTGACTTGGTGGGCAACAGTGTTTTACATGCATCACATAAATAGATCCTATTACTAACACACATACCTAGAACCATGAATAGTTATAAATTGGCAGTGTAAAATTACATATGTACATTATGTTTGAATCTTATCTTGAAGATTCTAAATCCAGCCTTTGGTTTTTACAGGTATCAAAAAATGGCTATGAATTATCCCAGAGGGAAGCAAAATGCTTCCAAGATCACAGCACCACCAACCAAATAAAAGAAAATTTTAAGAAAGGAAATCAAACATGACGGAAAACTTGCAAGAAATGGACAGGGTCTGTAGGACAGGTTATATTTCATTGTGAGGTTAACACCAGCTTATTTCTAGGCAATTGGAAGTTAGAGAGCTCAGGTCCATAGTAAAACAGTACCATCATCCAACAATTTCAAAAAATATGCCCCAGTTATGTACTATCAAAGGGAAAAAATAAATAAATAATAATAATCATGTTTCAATTTGAATTTGACCTTTATCTGAGCGCCATCACTCACACATAAACCAAGATTACAGGGTAATAAGTCAAAATACAATAGTTAGCAGTCTTAGCACACACCCCTGGAAGATTACCAAGCAAATCCTTGTTCACAGCTTAAACACACAAAACCACTTATGAATCAAGTAATCTGATCTGTTCAGCATAGTTCCTAAATTGCTGCAAGAAAACAGAAAAATGACTTTACCTTAACAACAGTGCCCAGTATGGCATCAATGTAGCTGATAGAAATTGCTGAGCGGAGATTTATACCATCTCTTTGAATATCTGGTATCTCTTCAATATCAAGGTAAACAAAAAGATCTCCTGGGGGACCCCTGACACTCAAGAAAATCTGTTTCAATAAAATAAAATATATAGAAAGCAGCCTGATTAGAAGTTACTATACATACCCTTTTGGCGCAGCATCACCCTCCCCAGCAACCCGGAGAACACTACCCCGGCTGACCCCAGGAGGAACTTTGATTTTGATATCCTTTTTAACACGAATTCTCCCCTCCCCAGCACATTTGCGACAATATTCTGCAATAACTTCACCATTGCCACCACAATTTGGACATACAGAAACCTAAAAAGACCAAAAGACAAGGCATATACTCATCTCAATACATTGCAAAACCAAGAATTGAGAAGCATAAGTCAGATACAAATTGATAATTGCCAGCTCAAATATTGGAAATGCTACGTCAACAAGATAACATTTCAATATGAAGATTATCAAGTAAAGTTATACACAAATACATACTACATTGGAAGATTAATTTCCAGTGACTATACATTTCAGTGAGGAGAATACTACAGTTAATTCAGTAGATAGACGCATATCATTTAACTAGTAGTTATCCAAATAGTTACAATTACCAACAAATAAGATATACGCTTAATTTTCTAGCATACAACGTAAAATTGCTGCTAAGTAATGTTACAATTGCTGCATTAACAAATTGATTTTTTTAACCTTTTTCTTAATCATCTTATCTACTACTCTGTATTTGCTAAGTTATGACTTTAGTAATCAGCAGTCACTGTTTTAAATTCCTCGTATCAGAAGATAATATATTATCTGAAATATAGAGTGTTCATAAAGTTCCTTATATCAATTCAGGCATGATACTTCCATGGTCAACCTAGAGCGGATCTATACTTCTCAACAACTTATTTAACTTCCATCCTGACAGATGCCATGATCCGTCTGTGTCACTCAGAATCGGGAAAAAGGATGTGCATGGGTCAACATCAGAGAGTCTGATTTTTTTAAATATCAAACTTTTAAGACGTGAAATTTTTTACACATATGTAATATTTATAATGTCAAAGATAAGTAGGAGGAGCAGGGAGGACAGCAGAAGCCCAGTATATCAGTAACAAAAGTAGGTAACTCATAAAAACCTTAGGAGTCATTATTAAAATCACGAAGATGCTCCTGTTTATTTGAATATGAGTCCTCTAAAATATTAGTAACAGCCCTAAGTAAACCACCCTCTTCTGTACCTTCCTCTCGTTTCTCCCAATTCTACCTCCTCCCTTTCTCTATCTTAAGAGGCCAATTTTTTTCATTCAAGGTGAAGTTAATTTTTTTTCACATTGGGTCCTGGTTTCATGACCAGAGAGAAGAATGTCCAATTGTGCAGGTGTCATATCCCTCTACATAATACCCAATTTACAAGGCCGCATGACTCATATCTTTGATAAGATCTACACATAATACGTGCTATTTTTAGTTCATAGCGGAGCCTTATTCCCTCTATGGCTCTACCAAGAGGCAAAAAAGGGAAGAAAAATTTAGCAATACAGTAACAAAAAACTCCCAGTCTGTATTAGATTGGTGACAACGAACTGCTTTTCTTAAGTTATTATTTAATTGGAAAGACATCTTGAGAGGGGTTGTCACCCACTCACCCCAATACAAAAGGAGAGCTGAAGACAAATATGCACACCTTCAAGCTAAATAACATTCACGGTATTTTATACAAAGTGTTACGAAAATAAACTTGGAACCCATAAACAAAAAGCAAAGCCACCAAAAGTTGGTCTATTTCTTCCCATTGACGTGAAACTCCAAATTGCAATTGGAGCAAGTTAAACAATTCAACAATCCATTTGTCCCGGAAACATACTTTTGAGCAACCAACACATCTTTGATATATCCAAGGTGAACCCATCAAACCCCATACATAGATAATTTAACATGTAACAGATGAGCACCCCAGTACAAAGAAAAAATAAGGGTGTACTGATTGTACTCTTGGTGAATGACTCGAATATGCTATGCAACTAACAAATTATGCACGAAAGATTAAGCTGTACTGACTGTACTCTCAGTGCTGACTCGAATATGCTATGCAACTAACAAATTATTACATTGGATTCTTCTTAATAAGAGCACATTTGACAAAGAAAATATTAGCACTTTAAGCATTTCATTCAGTATATAATAAAATTAGAGCAGAAAAAAACAACATTTTTAGCCAAAAACTAATGTTGAAAGTAGAGTTGCCTAACTTGCCTCTAATGTTTGTAAATTTGGTACAATTTTAATATAGAACCTTAACCAAGTATGACAGAATAACTTCTAACCTGTGAGAACAAACCAAAAGGCGTCTGCTCAGTTCGCATCACCTGACCCCTTCCTCCACAAGTTGAGCATATCCTCATCTTAGATCCAGCTTTTGCCCCACTCCCAGCACAAGCCTCACATGTTTCCAAATGCGAAAGCTCAAACTCTTTCTCCACCCCAAAAATAGCCTCAGAAAATCCTAAAGTCATGTCGTAGCTGAAACACTTTAAAATCATGAGTCAACTTCATCATCAATTTAGAAAAGTAGTGAAGAAAGAAAGTTCTATGCACTATATGAAAGCTTAAGAAAAAAATAAAAGCTTGGACCATCAAGAATAAAGTAAAGTAAGAGCAAGGGATCAGAAAATTAATAAACGGGAAATTCATAATGAGTTTTATAGTAGCTCTGAAAAATGGAACTTAGACTCACCGTATATCATCACCTTTAGTAACAGTAGCCTGTCGACGTGTTCCAAAGGCAGAATCCATCCCTGGGAAGCCACCCATACTTGCTCCAAAGAAAGTCTCAAAAAGATCAAATGGATTGCTCTTTTTGGGAGAGGAGGGATAGAGGGTAGACACACATCAGATATTGTTGTATAGCAGAAAGGGAAATACAAAGATCAAATTCAAAAACTTCAATACCGTGTAGGCACCAGCTCCTCCTCCAACAGCACTTTTCAGTCCATCTTCACCATACTGATCATACAAAGCCCTCTTTTTGTCATCTGATAACACCTGACAGTATTGTACATTAACGTTCAAAAGATAATATGAAAGGTCTGGAAATTCCACAGATCATAAGAAGAGATTCCGCCCAAGTAAGTCCAGCATTAGGGATTTAGATCCCACAAGAGGGCTTCATCACAGAAGCTAAACGTGATCTTTTTGAACAACTCCATTACTTTTAATTTAAGACAATGGAGCACCAGAAGTCATAGGATAGCTAGATCTTGTTAACACAAAATAAAGGTTTAGGAATCTTAGGATGACCGCAGTCACATTTTAAATGATCTTGCCGGTTTATTCCTATCTGGAGCACTGCAATATCCGCAACCAAGAATTTCCATCAAACCATCTTATATTGTTGATCAGTTTGATTGTGCTTTCAGTCAAGAAAAAAATTAAAGCCCTAAAGGCGAGGGGAAGGTAGTCCTACATGTTTTACACACAAGATTCTTGATGATGATTTAGATACCATGCTTAAGAATAGAGGGTTAATGAAGACCATGCAGCTGCTACTACAGGTAAGTGTCACTGTAAGTCGACCATTGTACCTGTGATGGACCTTAGACTATAGAGATGCCTAAGGCAAACAAGCAACGCCATAATGGATTCATCACTGTACAGCCTTAGCAAACTGAAAGAGTATTCTTTGACACAAACACAAATTAATATGACAATTGCCATTCACAATGACTTCATTTCACACTAAAAGCAACATTTGTTTTGGCACGATATTACAAGCAACTAAATAGACGATATTACAAGCAACTAAGTAAAATATTTCTTAAATTCAAAGCAACGTCAAATGAGAACCCCCTCCCTTTAAATTACCAATATATTCCCAAACTGAATTTTGTATCAATGGCAAATAGTGTTTCCATGATATTAGCAAAAGAAATAACATGCAGTACCAGCACGTATATGCAAGACTATCATAAAGCTGGACATAGAAGTAATAGATTAACATAATTGGAGTCAAGATACCATTTGCTCACTCTTTCCATGCAAAATAATGATCCAACATTGTTTCTTTATAACATGCATTAAATTGACTTTATCAAAGTCAAACTACACCAAACATATTCCAGCCTTGAGTTCTAAGCTAACCCAAATTCATGTTCCTTAACCATAGGTCAAACTCATTCTCTTTTGCAGGCAACCTTGATTGATCATAAATAGAATTAGGTGACAACCTACAAGAGGACGAGCAATATAACAATATAACATGCTGACAATCCACAAGAAAATGAGCAATACAATTGTAACAGATCATACAACTTCAGTTTATGTTTTAAGAACCTATAAGTTACAATAACAACTAGCCTTACTTTTGACATACCTCATAAGCTGCACTAATCTCCTTGAACTTATCTGTTGCTCCGGGATCCTTGTTAACATCCGGATGAAACTTAAATAGAAAGATAAAATCCCCAATCAGGAGCTAACATATGATAGGAATAAGAGATTACATATCTAGAGAGAGAGAACAGCTCTTTCCATGGACTAAGAACTATAGAGAATGAAATTTTCAAAGTTCTAGCGAATAAAACATAAGAAGACACAGAACTTCCTAGTCATGAATAGTGAATACGGAGTATATTTTAGCCTTAATACATTGCATTGATGTAAAAGTAAAATGCTTCATCATTATCTTCCAAAATTACTACTGCTAACAGCGTCATTGTCCAAATCAAAGTAGAATGCATAACATCAATTTTTAAAGTTCATCTTCATCTATCAAATGCATGATCAGTCAAGTATATATGTATTACAGGAAATTGAGATGGCTCAAGTTACACACATACACTTCACGGTCATTAATCTTTGCTTGAAGAATGTATTGCCACGCACTATTCCAATTTCACCGGTTAACAAAGAGTTCAAGTACACGAAAATGAGTACAATATCTAGTTCACTCTACATTTCCCAAAATTCAATTTATACGCATTGCTACAAATTACTCCTATCCACTCGAAACCAATCGATGATTCGAACATCTCCAAGATCCGCTACGAAACTAATCCAACTATACCAATTCTCAACATAAAACCCTCCAAACATACTAGTATCCTACAATTCTACTTAACAACAATCATAACCTTTTTCTCCTAACTACCTTATCTCAATAAACTTAATAAATAGTAAATACTTCATCATAATCATAACAAACATTAAAACCTAAATTCAAATACTACAAAAACTCAACTAACACAAAATCATCAACAAAAAATAAAAGTAAAAACTACCTGCCGAGCTAACTTTCTGTAAGCAGCTTTGATCTCTTTAACAGAAGCAGACCTAGAAACACCTAAAGTTGCATAATAATCCGACGAAGCAGCGCGTACTATAAACCCCCGCTTCCTCTTACTAAATTGTGAGTTATTCCGGTAAGCCGGCGACGGCGAAAGAGCGATAAAATTGCAATTCGACCGGAAACTGAGGCTTCCGCCGCCATTGATGAAGGAGGAGGAGCTTATCGACGGCGAATGTGAGCGGTCGGTGGATGCAGTGATAGTGAGAGAAGGTGAGAGAAGATAGAAAGGTGTGGTCGCCATTTTTTTGTATTTTTAAGTTTTGATTTTGTTTTTGTTTTTGAATTTGTTGATTTATGGATTGAAGGAGAAGAAAATGGGTAGAATTGAAGTGTTCATGTGTGATTATTGAAGGGTGTAAGAAAAAATGGAGGAGTTTGAGGAGGAAGTGCCCAGAAAAACAAAAAGATTGTGGTGTGGCCGTGTGAGAATGTGTGGGAAAAATTGAGCCTCTAATTTTACACTAACTGATTTCGTTGCCTTTTTGTTTATTGTTTACTCTACTTTTTTGGAAAATACAATACGGGATCGATTTATGGTTTTGTTATTTTGATTAAACCGTGGAATAAATGTTATTTATCAATTGGTACAGAGTTTTTTTTTTTGGTTTGATATTTGCTGGTAACACACTTTGAGAGTGAGGGGAAAAGAGTAAGAGATCCTCATCCTCAAAGTGTCTCTAGTGGGGATTAAACCTCTAAACTCAAGGTTAAAAGGTGCAATCCTTGCCACTTATCGATTGGTATGTTATACGTCATATGTATTCTCCTAGTCTTGAGTGGGATACAAATGTACATACTCCCTCTGTTCCCTTTTATTTGCTCCAAATGGGTGGAGTAATTTTTTTAATGAAAGGAGCTAATGAGAGAGATAAGTGGAGGGTTAAATGTAGTGATTGTGACGTGTGAAAGTAAAACTATGATCCTCACAACCAAAAATAGTATGGGACAAAGACGAACTAAAAAGAAAATGGGACAAAAATTTAGTGACAAATAGAGTACAAAAAACAGAATTTATTTTTTTTTTTTTTATTGTTGATTATATGGCATGATTGTGTATGATTTGGATTGGGTTATGTTGGATACTAGATTAAAACCTACTAAATTGATAGCATTCTTCTACTACTAGTATTTTAAATTTTTAACAAGATAGAGTTCCTCAGGACAAAAACAAAAACTCAAGTCCTATATTGTCCTGAGAGTGGCTCATGAAACATATTCCTACAAAGGTTTGTCCTAAACTCTAATAAAGCATGTAGCTAATAAAACATGATTCAAGAAATTAAATTGCTCCATAGTTGCTTAAGTAACAAGATTTACAATCACTGTGTAACTCGTGTTAAGCTAATTAAATGTTGTGAATTTTGAAGATAAATAAACCTATGGAAGCAATCACAGAAACTTTTGGAAAAGGAAATGACAGAAAGCTTGACATGGTATCAAAGTCCAAAGGCAAAATTTACAAGAATCAAATTGTTTAGCTTATCCTATCAACTTGCTATTTATATCACAGAATCATTTTATTGCATGTTGTTGCTCTCCTTTTGCCCGATTTTGGCTTCCTTGAATCAATTAACTTCAGCAAGAAGTTTTAGTTCACAGAAACTTGTGTTCAAAACTTTTATGTTCACCGTATTCATAAAGAATTAAGTTGCTAGATTCTCCTGGTTTCAAAAAAAAAAAAAGTTGCTACATTTTCCTTGCAACCGCGAAAAGATTGTACACATCTCCTTCTATCAATATTGTTCTTTTCCTTTTTTAAAAGCAAATAAATTTATCATTACATCTGATCAACTCGACCATAAATTTAGAAGAATAATATAAAGAGTAACATATTAAGGCCCTCCAAATTTTAGCTTAGGGCTTCTAAAATTCTAAACAAGGCCTTACATAGGTAATTCTTAACCTATTCATACTACAGTTATTACATCTTTAACTTAAAAAGCATCTCGATGAAATTGTCCAGGAATAGAGCTGCTTTGTTGAGCTTGCTTGAGATGCATACTCAGCGTATAATTAGTAATCTGCAAGCACATGGAAAAACACAGTTAGTTGGCGTAAAGTATTTGTAGCATGGCCTTTGAACGCTGATAAAATCTGAAAAGAAGAATGGGGGTGATATACAGACCTCGAGTCTCCTCAACTGCTCCTGATATTGTGGAAGTAGCTGCTTCAGTTGCTGCACTTCTTGGTTCTTATCATCATACTCCTTTTGTCGCTCATGCTGAATTTGAATACCACGTTTAAGGATACCATTATCATTCATAAGTGCCTGAATTTGCTGCTTCAGCATCATATTTTCCTACATTAAGGATCACCCAATACATGTAAGACTAGGTAATTCATTCTGAAGAAAAGCAAAACAGAATACATTAATTTATCTAACACTATACTAAAGGAGTATTATATTATACCTTCTGATAATTCTCTGTAGCCTCAGCAGTTGCACTATCCCTTATTGATTTCTCTAGAACTTCCAACACCTTAACAATACGGGATCGCAAGTCATCTACAGTAGTTGCACCCACCGTCTCTCTAAGAAATAATTCCACCCATTGAGCACCATCTGTTGGGAGGTTGCTCTGGGCAGAAGAATCAGCACTAGGAACAGCTTGTTGCTGCGCAGAAAAACCACCTGCAAAACACAAGACATGTTATAGATTCTCTCTTTTTGGACAGATAACAAACTTCAGCACCATACGAAAAGAATGGATAAAAACACACCTTGTTCCACATGTGCTTCCTCATGATTCACAGAACCCGGATTTTCCTCGGAGGATCCTAAACATAACTCATGCAGTCTTTTAATTGCAGCATCTATGTCATCACCACATTCATCCAGAGCTCTTTCTAGAGTCTTCTCACCAAAGGAAGGCAAAGATTAAACAATATAAGTGGATGAAGGCTAAGCAACAAAATGCACACTGCAAAAAACTAGCTCCCAGAAACTACTAATACCCAGTAAATGACATAAACATAGACAATGCAAATAAACAACAATACAGCATTACGCACAACATAAAATACAAGCGCAACATTTGGCCATCCTTATGTGACCACAACTCTCGAACCTAATCAGCCACCTTCTAATGTTAAGTAAGATGAAATTTAAACTTTCCCATATTACTCTAAATGATACCCTAATAAAAAATTTAAAGAAACATAAAACCCTTAGCATCAGGCAATTTCTACAGTTTAAAGCTAATTTTTTTGTTCGTTTGCTCATTCAAGGGTCTTTATATAAGCATCTGGGCAAAATATAGCATTGGTTGTTCCATGGATACTATGGTGAAATAAAGACAGTTTAAAATGGGGAGTGATTTAGCTAAATTCCTATTCAAGGACCCCAAATCAAATGTAGCCTATTATTTAGTGACTCGGGAAGACAGGGTATATGTATTACCCAAAACCGGCGAAATTTCATATGTTGACTCCTAAATCTAATGAGACAAAAGAGGACCAAACTGTAACAACAAAAATTAGACAATATACCTACATCTTCTGTCCAAAAGAATGTCTTAATCAATTAATTCCAATACATATTTATGTTTGAATCATACTTTGAGTGAAAATTCATTGATTAATTCAGCACCATTGATTAATTCAGCACCATTGATTAATTCAGCACTACTATTGTCTGTGAAATTGTAAATTGACCCAATACTATAAATCAATACTAAGTAAGCATCAACGGGTAACAAGATTAAGCGATTGTGGTCATACCGATGTCAACTAGCTTAATTAGTTAAAGTCTCGGCCTCTCAAGGCCTCGGATCGAATCCCGTCTATAAAAACAAACAACACTACTAATTCCGACACCAAAGCAAACAAAGATCCTACAATAACAATAAAAATAATTCCAAAACAATATAATCTCAATCAATTGAAAACGAAGAATTAAAAAAAAAAAATCTATATTACCTGATGGTCCATGCGAGGGAAGGCTTCCCTGAGCTTATCAAGAAGAGAGCTCCTCGGCGGCGGAGACGGAGGCGAAAATGGCGAGAATCGAACAGGGGAAGAAGACGAACAACGAAGCTTCTTAGAGACAGGTGTGGTGGAAGTTTGTTCTTCAAAAAAAGATCTCTTTCCACACACAATTGCAGACATCTTAAGATGCTTCTCGATTATTTCCGATCTCAGAGAAATCCTCTGAGTCTCAAAACGACCCCAGAAGTAATCGAATCCCCAATTTCCCAAAATCCAACGTCGATTGAAATTTGAAGGATCTGATTTCGAATTAGGAAAAAGGGATAAAGGTTGTGTAAGTTAGGGTTTTGAATTGGGGATTTTTCTGAAATTGGGGGTTTTGAGAGAGAAAGACAAGGAGGGATTTCTGGTTTCTTGTTGCTGGTTTGAGGGCTTTATATAATGTGGTCAAGGTGTTGGCTTGGTGGATCGGCCAATCCAAACGAGTAATTGTGCCGTAATTATTTTTTTCCTCTTTTGGAGTATTTATTTCCTTTCTACTTTATACGATGTATATGAAGTACGAGTATTCCGAATCTCTTACCTACAATACCCTCCTCCTAGATGCATAACTAAGATACGCAATAGGAGATTAGAGTTGTTGACTAGTTCTCTGACTTTTAGGCGTGATACTCTTCTCCTTACCTTTATACGTAGGGCCTTTTTTCTTTCGTTGAAATTTAGTTCAGTTCAGCTCAGCTCACTTCAGCTCAGCTCTTAATTTACTTCTAATGATATTGCTAATGATATAATGCCAAATAATAATAATAATATTAACAACAACAACAATAATAATAATAATAATTGAAATAATAATACTAATAATAATAATCAATAAATAATAATAATCATCAATAAATAATAATAATAATACTAAAAATAATCAATAAATAATAATAATCAAAATTAATAATAATAATAATAATATGTACATTTGTATATACACATATGTATAGTAATAAATAATCAATAAATAATCAAAGATCACTAATCCGTAGTTAGAAATCACTAATTAATCAGTTCAGTTCAGTTCAGTTCAGCTGAGTTCAGTCAATCGGAACAGGTTCATAGTATAGAAAATACAATAAAATAAACAGAGTAAAAATTACATCACTTTGACTTTATAGGTTATTCATATATAAATGTTGACTAAATAACAATGAAAATGAATATTAAATTGTGTTGTTGAATTGTAACACATAGTGATATTATACCAACAATATTTAGTTTGTGAACTCTTTATGTGAAATTAAAACTTAAATAATTTATGTTAAACTAGTATTGAATTATTGATAGCAGCTATTTTTTGTCTCTAACTGATATATTAGCTCTACAGATAGTCAAGTTGAATGGATAGAAATACCAAAAACATTCTTCTTTATGTAAGTTTCTCTATCATTAGTTCATTACCATGCCACAAGATATACAATCCTTAATTTTATCATCGAGGAAATTTGCACATATTTAATCTAACAAACAATATTTAAAGAGTGAAAAACCATTTTGGGACATTGTAAAATGAAGATAATTTGTTGAACTTTGAAGTAATATAATAGATGAGAGAAAGGATGGATCTAGGTATTTTATGTAGGCCGAACCAATTTTTGTAAAGCTTAAGTAATTGTTTGATAAATGTACTTAATGTTTGATTTTTATGACAAAGTATAAGAAAGATTAAAAGATTAGTAAAAAAAAAGAAATAAAAGGGGGGGGGGGGGGGCTAGCTGGCCAAGCTGGTTTCAAACTCGTAACAAACAATCTATTAGATGTGAGCAATAACCAAGTCAACCAAGTTACATTCCCTTTTATTAGTACGCAACTTAAATTTGTTATACTTCCTCCATTCTTTTATTATTGCACCACTTGCTTTTTTAGCAAGTTTCATAAATATTGCACCATTTCCTGTTTAGGAAAAAAATTATTTGTGTTCACACTACAAATACCCAACATACCCTTGCCTTTTCACACTTATTTTTTAGTTTATCAATATGTCACGTGGACAATTTTGTATTTTTTACCTTTCTCTCTCTTACTTTTTTCCACTATCAAAATATTTGTACTCAATTCCTATGGTGCAATAATAAAAAAAACGGAGGAAGTATGTTTTTTGGATCGGGGGGGGGGCGGTGGCTTGGGTTGGCCACCCCCTGAATTCGTCTCTGGATGAGAGAGGGGGGAGAAACTTATAAAAATTTATTCAATCCATTGAAAAATGTCTACGTATACAATATGATCCCATGACCATTAGATCATTCCCAACATAAATCCATTATTCTTATGACTCCACCAATAGAAACTAATCATGTAGGATATCAATATGTCATATTCCTATACATTAGGATGTACCACTAACAATTTGAAGCAAATACTCCAAGATAGTTTGATTTCTACAATTCCTCTTCTCAAGGTTCAATTGTCTTTTTTAATTTTTTTTATGCTTCGCTTATCCTATGATTTTACGATTTTTATCCCTTTAATTCCGAACTTATGGAGTATAGCATGATGTGATGGTTTTATAAATAAGATTAATAGTTTCTTTGACTTTTCTATTTATCAAATAAGATCCAAGAATAAGTCAAGTGAAAATCTAACAAATTAAAGGTTAAAACATATACAAATGGAGACATGTAACAAATGCTACATTGCACCTAAATTTTTTCACTGGAATTACAAAGATGTAGTTGAAGTGTACGCACCAAACTACTTCTCACTTGTTAATCAACATCCCGGGGTTATCATTAATGTAGTTAATTTATACTTCGTATTTGGCTTTTAATCATGTGACAAAATACCATGCTTAATGTTAGACATCCAAGTTGAATTTTGCATGTTTGCAGTGTATTTCATTACTCAGTAGTTTTGCATTTTCTTACAACATTTTCCTCCATTTCATTTAGGTTGTTTAAAGTTTACAATATCAAGCACGATTTTGATTCAAATTTGTTGACAAAACATGGGTGCAAGTTGTGGCATAACTTAAAACCGTCAAGTTTTGTACAATATTATTACATGGCAACATTAATATAGTAATAAATCATCATTCTTCACAATTATAATACCAGGTAATCATGATTTGAAGTCATAATATTCATAAACTCTATGCTCATTATCCTTGAGCTCACATCACACATCACATATATTTCAATTTTCAAATACTCATATATGCTCAACTAGTGCACACCCTACCAAAATATGAGTTTCAACGAATCACGAACTAGAGCTCTCAACTCGAGTCTACAATTAGTTAAAGTCGGGGCTAATTAGTTGAGGTCATATCATGTAATGCACCGTATTAACTCATTGTGCATTTATGAATTAGTTGTACTCCGTATAAAAATAACACATCATTACTTTAGTTAATCATCGCAGGTTGAGTCGTGCTAGTTTTCATTACAGAGTAACTCTAATCGTGACACTCCATGACCACCATCCTCGGCCCAACCCATCTCCTTTTAGCCCATATCAACGCCATTTCTCGAACACACACAAAGGTCGGTTTCTTGCTCATTCTACCGCCTTTCACTCTTCCTACTTATATTCTTCACTCTCCTCACTCACATCCTGTTACTTAATTTCTCTCCTCGAGAGAAAAAAAAAAAAAAAAAAGCAAAAATATCTTCCCTCTTATTTCTCCATTTTTACAATAAACCCTAACTCAAATTATCCCCAATTCATCTCTCTTTTCACCCCCAATTTCTCAATCTTCGTACTTTTCTCTCTCTTAGGGTTTTAAAATTTGCATCTGCTGAGGGTTTAGGGTTTTTGCGTGTGCGATGTGGAACGGGAACAATCCCATGGCGCCACCGCCGGCGCCGGGAACTTCGATTCCACCTCCGCCGGCGATGCAACCGTCGTATACAGTGCTGCAGCCGCCTCTGCAGCAGCCGCAGCAGCAGGAATCGGCGGAGGAAGCTGAGGCGAGGTTGGAGGAGAAGGCGAGGAAGTGGATGCAGCTTAATTCGAAGCGGTATGGCGATAAGCGGAAGTTCGGGTTTGTTGAGACGCAGAAGGAGGATATGCCGCCTGAGCATGTTCGGAAGATTATTCGGTGAGTTTCGATTGTTTCGAATTTATAGTGAGTTTGATTGTTTAGGTTTTGGTTGTAGTTTGTATTAGTATTTGTATGGTGATTATGATTATATGAATGTACTTAAGATGGAAAGAGGAATGGTAGTTGCTGTGTTTGGGGATTGCTGAGATCTTGTGGATTGGGTGTTGTGCTGCAATCGAGTCGAGTTTTGGCTGAGTAGTGGAATGCTCGATTAATTGATTTTGATATGAGTAGAGTTTTAGCTGAGCTATGAAATTCATAGGCTCAGATTTGTTCATTTGCTATTGCAAAACTTGATTGTTTTCAGGTTATTTAAATATTGGTTGAGTATGCTCTAAATTAAAGTTTTTATTAATTATATTTGTGAAATTGAAATTGGCACATTGAGGAGTTTTATTGTATTTAAAATGTTGCAAATATAAATGTGGATATCATATTATGTTTTTATGCTAAATACGAGTAATGTAGTAGAGTCTACTGGGAACATAATTCAGTGGAGCAGAGAAGCATTGGATGTCACCGTATCGGAGCTCAGCTTGTTTGCTTAAAGAGCTTGATTTTTTTTTGTTCATAAACAATCCATATTATGTTCCCGAGTCTTTATAGCTTCTACAGTAAAACTTTGGCTCATTTGCAGTCTCAACGAGCTAGGAGTGGGTTATATTAGGTGTGGGTTAAGAATCTTATAATGGTCGTCAGTTGTTGTCGTTGAATAATGTTCTGTTTCTCTAGGATTTTTGTTTTTTTTTTTTTAGTATTTGCTAAAATGGAGGTTTTGCTCCCTTGTTTCAGAGATCATGGTGATATGTCTTCTAAGAAATTCCGCCATGATAAACGTGTGTACCTTGGGGCTTTGAAGTTTGTTCCCCATGCTGTCTACAAGCTTCTTGAGAACATGCCAATGCCTTGGGAACAGGTAATTATATAACATTTTCAGCCATTTTGTAGCTTATTCATCTTTTCAATAAAGGGAATTTAGGACTGTTAATGGGTTGAATGAATATTAAGAAATATATCTGGGATACTTTTTACACTAGCTATAATATGTGTAAATTTTATGATGAGGGATCAATGATTTATAATGAATGTGATTTGAGCTTCTCTTGAAAAAGGCACGTTTGCTCTTAGCATTCTTGTTTATATGCATATTAATGGGATATCTGCTTGAAATTGACCCTTTATTTATTTGTTTTTAGGTCCGTGATGTCAAAGTTCTTTACCATATAACTGGAGCCATCACATTTGTAAATGAAATACCATGGGTGGTTGAACCAATCTATCTGGCTCAGTGGGGTACGATGTGGATTATGATGAGAAGA